CAGTATTCATTGAAATTTAACAATATTTAACCGGAAGCTGGAAATATATTTCGCAATAGTAATGATAGTGCCTGAGCTTAGTAAGTCTGAACCTAGTAACATTATGTTATACTTTATTTTAGGCCATTTAGACAAAGAGTGTGCGCCATCTGCTGGATCCCAGCCCATCCAATGTGGGTCAAGATCAAACTACTGATCGCGTCAGTGAATAAAAATAGTAGCCATGCTCCATTATTTCAACGTCGAGAACTCTTCCACATAAGTGTCTTCTGTGCCAAATTACCATATGTAGCAATTGACCCTCTGTATACTTTCGTTAATCAAACGCAGCAATAAGAATTAATCAATTAGAGACGAGAGCTCGTTTGCCAAATTAAAGTATAGTTGGAAATTAAAAATCCATTTCGCCACATGGATGTCGGCAAAAATTTAAAAATACTCGTATTCCAAAATACGATGATGCGTACATACGGATGTTATGAGAGTGCTGGGCTAATGAAAAACAGCTCAAAAGTTTCCAGGAAGAGCAATCTCCAGCGTGGCGTTGCATTGGGGCAGCAGCAACCATGCAATCGGCCACAAAACGCTTGTTTTGTAATCAACAACAAACTGCCGGCATCCCAATGATGCCAACATAAAACAGCAGCCAGAATAGCAAGTCTTACAAAATAGCCCTAAACGTCTGGAGGCAAGTGAGTTCCCCTAGAAGCCTGTTTACATTGCACCGAACTAGTCATGCCCTGTAAGCAATGTTTACAGAGCCACTAAATAAATAAAAGACTTCCTAGCTGGAGACTGCGAGTCTCTAATTAATTGCTCAGTCTAGCAAATCACATACTGATCTGGAGGAACCATGCGGTCTAAATTAGGAAATATTGCTCAAAGGGGCGCCGCTGGTTTTCAGATGCTAATGATCGAGCCACTGGAGACCGCTACCGCTGACCACAATGTATCTATCTGTCTATCCATCTTTGTATCTATGGTATCTGCTCAGATCGTATTGTATCATCCTAATAATTAACGCATTTGGATCATCAGCCATAAACTTTTTTTTAGCAGTTGATGCCAATATGGCAACAGCATCAGCTGCGTTCCCCCGTTGTGGATTTGGATTTGGCTTTGGATAGAGCATCACTTTCAGGTGGATCCCCAGACCCCCTGTCCTGCATATGTGCAACTCCGATCCGCAGGCAAGCGGCCTTCAAGTGGATCAAAGATCAATAAGCGAGAGGCTGTGAAGGGCCCCATACTATGGATCACTATCGATGTCTTCAGATCGAAGTCTTCAGATGTTCGATGTCAGACTGACTGTCTGTTTATCCGTCCGTGCGTCCAACACGCGCGGGCCTCTTAGTCAATTGCGTCTGTCCGTATATCTATGTCCATATATACATATGTACATATGCCTAATGCGTGAGTTGGCTTGGCATTTCTATATATTAATGCTCTGATAGTTTCATTCAGTGGCTTTTTTGCGCTCACCCACACACTTGATTAATAAATATTGATCCTGATTGAATGATCGAAAGCTTGCGAAAACCCGAAACAGGCAGTCCAGCGATCCGATCCGCAGGCCTGCGCAATTATTGAGAGCTCAGGTTTTGAAGTTCCCCTGACAGCTGCTCAATCAAATCGAATCAAATATTTGGGCTAACTAAACAAAAACCTTTCCTAAAGAGCCCCCAATTCCATGCCCTCGTCGATGATGTCTAAATTCTGGAAATTCGCAAAAATCAAACTCAATTACTGCCGCTGTCAATCAGCGGCAGGAATCGAATTGGGAATCGGCATCCCAATCGGAATCGGAATAGAGAGGCATGCGTAAGAGGCATTTGTGGTACTCCCATATAGGTGGCGTATCTCGAAGATACATTTCACTTAACTGTATGGCATATATCATCCATTCAACTACGGCGCAGAGCAGCCACCATGACAGCACACGCAGATGGCGATGGCGATGGCGATGGCGATGCCGATGCTGATCTAGATGGAAATCGGGGGTGATTTGGATGGGGACGGGCGTGGGGATCACTGGGAGCCGGCCGACGTGCGTTGACCCTGAGACTTGCCCACACCCACCCACGCAACGCGAAAAGCATAAACTAATAGTGGTTTATATATAGATGCACAGAGGGAAACAAGACACTATTTTCGATTCCACAGTCAGCACTGACCAATTTGGATTTGTGTAGGGAACAGAAAGTAGTAATTTTTAAAAATATAAATAATAAAATGTATATATTTCAATTTGTATTTCAAATTAAATTAAGTTAGATTAGCTCTTCCCTTGAGATACATTGTTGATCAGGACTTCAAATGCTATTTCCCCAACAGTCATTACTTTTGTCAGTGTACCAGACTGTTCCTTGAGTCTAAGAAACTGGCATGCAAATCATATCCCAGAGGCTTGCAAATATTTATGGGTATCATGTGGAAAAGACTTGAAGTGAGCTGAAATTAAAAACATTTTAAAAGTAGCAGAAGTAACATACAATGGCTAGCACCGCTCTATCGCCATAAAAGATGAGTGCCCGCTGAAAGGCAAGATCATGAAAATGGACTAGAATTCAAGTACATACGCGTGCATAACTCAATTTCCCGAGACCCATCCGGACTCTTTGAACTGTCTGCCAGTTGGGGAAAGACATCCGCCATCTGCAGATGATTCCGACCCTAATCCGCCCCTGAACCGCTCCAGAAATTCGCGTTGCGCCGATCGGTTCAACACACGGCGCTCGACTTTCAGTAATGCAACTCCTCCTTCGAGTGGCCAATGCACTTGCCAAAGACTTCAATTGAAAATTTTCATTTACACCAGGCCGGCCATTCAATGGATATGAATCGGCTTGGTTTTATATAAGGCTTTAACATTTATATTTCTTTCTGAATAATTCCTCCGTTCATTGATTCCAAAAACGTAATTGAATGCAGTGTGTGAGTTTCTCCACAGGCGGTGTATTCCTTAGTATTAGAAGGGCCAACCAATTTTCGAAATCGCGGAGCATATGCCATAATGCTAAACTCGAGCCGAAATTATGTCGATTCTGCGCTGCATCAGCATAATCTCCAATTGCAGCCACGAATTGAGCGGCTTTTGGCTTGGCATATGGCCTGATGTCCGATTTCTGATGGCTTTACTCTTGCTTTCGGCTGACTGACTAAGCCTAAGCTTTTGTTTTGGCAATCAGGGGCTGGTTTCGTGGAACTGCACATGCCACACACATTACACTGCTAGAAACGCCTAGATAAAATAGCTGAAATGTCATAGACCAACAGCACTTGGTGCGTATTCCGTGCTTCTTACTGTGTAATTTGCGATGAATAATTTTAATCATTTTAATCATTAATCATCATTTAATCATTGAAACCAGTTAATCATTGAAATAATTACTAACTACACGTCATTCACTTATGGGTTATGCTTTCATTAAAAATACACCACATTAATATTCCCTATTGCAAGTTTTATTATCGCACATGCTGGCAGGGAAGTGCCAGTTTCGCGCAGTGTAAGCACTTGACCTGGCTCCTATTGCAGCACCAATCGGTGGCCCAGCTGTGGCACCAGCTGCAGCGACACTCCAATCCGGTGGGTGCGAGATCATCTGCGTGGTGGTTCTGCGGCTCGAGAAGATGCCAGGTGAGCCCGGAATCGCCTTGAACCCTTGACATTACTTGAGGCGCAATTTAATTGCGCCCAGGGGGAATTGGCTGATTAACTGACTGACTGACTGCTGGCTGACTGGCTGCTGGCCAGTTGGCCCATTGCATAATGCATCATGCCTCATGCCTCATGCTAATAGGGAGCGGCACCAGGGACCGGGGATCGAAGATCGAAGATCGGAGGCGCGACTTCCCGTTTCGGTAGCGCCGGCAATTGTCACAATGATTTACAGGCATTCCGCGTTGGCAGCTATAAATTGCTAAATGGTTATTACAGCATTAATTACACGACGGCCCAAGCGTTGTTGGGCAAATCGAAATTGACCTTTTGCCCCACCCAGACTGCCGGTCTGCAGAATGAGTTATTATCTTGTAGTTGTCACTTACTAGCGGTGCGCAGATATGTTACTCCGCTCCAATCTCGATCTGGATGAAAGCATGCAAATGGGAAGCCAGAACCACTCGATGTCCATGTAACCAGCGCTGTCGATTGGAATTAAATTACACTGCCGTCGACAATGACAAAGTGTGCGAATAAAATAAGTTGTTTTCCTTACTTAACTAGCGAAACAAAGGAAATCCACCAACGCGACCAAGGCGACTAATGTAGTTACAATCAAAGGTATCATTAATGTGATTTATGAACTCTTTGCCTCATTAAATCAGCGAAAAATAGACATTGTCATCGCCGCTTTATCTAAACTATTATTAAATGCAGACAGGCCATATACTTTCCGTGTTTTAAGTCGATAAGTGCTGAGTCAAGAATCAACAAAAAATAGAAAAGTGTTTATATTAATTTCCTTTTTGATCTTGCAAGTCAATAATGCATTTAAATAAAATCGAATGGAAAAAAGCGAAAATGACAATATTGGCTTAGCTGTTTAGAAACTTGACAACCATTACTGGTTTTTAACATGGAAATCAGAAATCATATAAATGCATTGAATATCAGTTTTGCTTTATAAGCAAAAAATATCGATTTTAAGTTCTTATAATAAACAAGATAGAATGCTATAGTCGAGTTACCCGACAGATACCCGTTACTCAGCTAGAATCAGCTGGAATATCGGTAGAAATTGTGGAAAAAATAATAAAATGAAAAGAAACTTAAACATTTTTTAAAAGTTTTGTGGGCGTGGGCTTAATCTCAACATTCTAGCTTTTGTAGTTCCTGAGATCGAGGCGTTCATACGGACAGTCGGACGGACAGACGGAGATGGCCAGTTCGACTCGGTCTCTTAATCCTGATCAAGAATATATATACTTTATACGGTCGGAAAGGCTTCCTTTTGTCTGTTACATACTCTTCAACGAATCTAGTATACCCTTCTACTCTACGAGTAACGGGTATAAAAATACCCCTTTTTGGGCCAAGCTGTCATATTTTCAGACCGTTTTCAACACTAAGTCTGTGCCCATGTCAGTTGTCAGGCGGAAAGTAGTTGGCACTCAACCAGGTTGGAAACACACCCCGTCGAGAATCGGTAACCACCACCATGAGCGCCAGCGAGGGCGTCAGTCTCCCAGGCAACGAGGACACCACTCCGCCGCATGAAAAACATAAACAAAGGGCCAAAAAGGCCAAAAAGAAGTTCCGGAGTGCCAAAGAAAGTGTTCCGAATGCGATGGACGCGAAAGCCACTGCCAGCTACTTCAGTTTGAGCATCGTGGGCCAAATAGTGTCGGCCACCTTTCCTTTGGGTCCCGACAAGGAGTTCGTCTTCCTGCGCTACGAAATGGTCGCTGGTCCCGACTGGCAGCTGTCCTCCGGACCCCAGCACGGACTCACCCAACTGGCCACCAACAGAAGGGGCCACTTCAACGAGCCTATTGTGTTCAACATGCCCATCGAGGTGACCTACAAGAGCACCAGTCCCTATGGCTGTAAGTTCGACTTTGATCATTTAGAAGCTATTATTGATTCAGATACAAGCACTGCAAAGAGACCTGGGAACTTTTACTAAGTCTGCTTGGTAATGAGTTACAATTTTTTAGCATATCCTTCATTTCCTTTGGTTTTCAGGGCCCCAGATCCTGGTGAGCGTGTTCGGTCGCAGTGGCCTGGGAAGGGAAACACTACTCGGCTACGCCCACATCCACCTGCCCGTTTTTGGCAGCCGTCGTCCAGCAGATCAGACGGAGCAGCTGCAGGCCCCCATCCTGATGCCCAAGTGCCCCAGCATGATGGCAGACATCACCAGTTGGCTGTTGCGCCGGGAGCCGGAGCTGAAGGACCCCAAGGTGCTGCTGGACAACCTGAAGTGCAAGGGGCTCTCCATGGAGTCCTACGGCAGCCTGCAGTTCCAGCTGTCCTCCGTGATGAGGGGAGCCCGCAAGCTGGGCTACCATTGGCATTCCTGAGAGGAGAGTCCAGAGTGTGTCAGTAAAACGTGAACTGGGCGAAGCAGGAAAGCGTTTGTCTTAATCTAATTGCCGGGTGGGTGGTACCTCAAACTTGGCCTTGTTGGTTGTGGCAGCTAAGACGGCTTCGAAATGACGCGACTGCTGCTAATCCGACGCAGCAGACCTGCGGCAATCGAAAGCCCAATTCGAACGGTTAGCTTTGGATTGGCCAAGTGCCGGCTAATTGGATTAGGGCAATTAGTCTAAGACGCGTCGAACACAAGTGGCCATATAAAGACCCGGCCATGGTTCCGCCCCAGGCATTGCCGCCGAGTTCGCGTCCCGAGAGTCAGTCGTCCTGCTATGGACAGCGAGTAGTCGGCGCAGCAGAGTAGTCAGCCATCCAAGTTCAGACGAAGCCACCACCGAAGCACCACCAGTACCAGTACCAGCGCCCAGAATGGCCAGCCTGAATCCCCCGAGCTTCGCCTATATGCGCGATGGGCGCAATCTCAGCCTGGCGGAGAGTGTGCCCGCCGAGATCATGCACATGGTGGACCCGTACTGGTACCAGTGGCCACCGCTGGAGCCCATGTGGTTCGGCATCATTGGCTTCGTGATTGCCATTCTGGGCACCATGTCGCTGGCGGGCAACTTCATTGTGATGTACATCTTCACCTCGTCGAAGGGACTGCGCACGCCGTCCAACATGTTTGTGGTGAACCTGGCCTTCTCCGACTTCATGATGATGTTCACCATGTTCCCGCCGGTGGTGCTGAATGGATTCTATGGCACCTGGATAATGGGTCCCTTCCTCTGCGAGCTGTACGGCATGTTTGGCTCGCTCTTCGGATGCGTTTCCATCTGGTCGATGACGCTGATTGCCTACGATCGGTACTGCGTGATCGTGAAGGGCATGGCCAGGAAACCACTGACGGCCACGGCGGCGGTGCTCCGGCTCATGGTCGTGTGGACCATCTGCGGAGCCTGGGCTCTGATGCCGCTCTTCGGCTGGAATCGCTATGTGCCCGAGGGCAACATGACCGCCTGCGGCACTGATTACTTCGCCAAGGACTGGTGGAACAGGTCCTACATCATCGTCTACTCCCTGTGGGTCTATCTCACGCCGCTGCTGACCATCATCTTCTCCTACTGGCACATCATGAAGGTATGACTTCGCTTAGTAATTATCCAAGGATTCGGTTAAGGACTGACTCTTGTCCCTCAGGCTGTAGCTGCCCATGAGAAGGCCATGCGGGAGCAGGCGAAGAAGATGAACGTGGCCTCCTTGCGGAACAGCGAGGCCGACAAGAGCAAGGCCATCGAGATCAAGCTGGCCAAGGTGGCCCTGACCACCATATCGCTGTGGTTCTTCGCCTGGACCCCGTACACCATCATCAACTACGCGGGCATCTTCGAGTCCATGCACCTGAGTCCGCTGAGCACCATTTGCGGATCTGTGTTTGCCAAGGCCAATGCGGTCTGCAATCCCATTGTGTATGGACTGAGGTGGGTGCTGCCCTCTTCTACCTAATGTATCTAATGTATCTAACAACATATATTCCGATTCATCTCCTGCCGCAGCCACCCGAAGTACAAGCAGGTGCTCAGGGAGAAGATGCCATGCCTGGCTTGCGGCAAGGACGACCTCACCTCGGACTCGAGGACACAGGCCACCGCCGAGATCAGCGAGTCTCAGGCTTAGGCGAATCAGGGACGACGACTGCAGACGTAGGGAACTGACGGCTCTAGATCTACAAAGACTCAACTACTTGTATTTTGCAAAGGCACCTCAAGGAAAACCCCAAAAAAAAGATGGCAATGAAAAATGTAAAAAAAATATTGTAAAAATATAACAGCAATTGATACAAAATCAAATTCAAAATCACCCAGTTATCACATACTGCAACTGCTTTGTAGGGCGCAGGGCCCCAAAGAAGTTTGTGCCTTTATTTGGTAAGTAACATTTCAAGCATTTCAACCATTTGCCTAGCCATTGGATCACATAGTTCGTCAATCAAAGTCAGTGCCAGTTTCGTTATCAGTACGTTATCAGGGTAATCTGGGGAAGTCTTCAGCGGTAGTAGGTGTTCAGGCCGAGGTCTATCAAAGTGCCATTGTGGCGCCGTTCTCGCAGCTCCTGGGTGAAGAGGGCACGTCCTTGCAGCAGGATGAAGTCAATGAGCCTCCTGTTCGAGCTCTGACGCAGTGCGTCAGGATCAGATCGCTTGCGAAGGTAGTTAAAGCAGCAGGTTCTGGGTGAGCAAAATGTACAGCACTTGTGAAACGCACCCCTTGCATATCATATCTTACCGAAAGTGCTTTGTGCCACATGCGCTGGCACACTCCTTGCCACAAGTGTCGCATTTTATGGCCTGCGAACTGGGGCACATCAACCAAACGCCTTTACAACGCAAACCTTTAGTTACACAGCCTAACCATTGATTACTCTTAGTCTGAACTCACATAGCAAGATGATCTGGAAGTGCGCCAGCCAATGCATCGTTGTCTTAGTCATTGGTCGGCAGTCGGCAGTCGGCTCAAAATGCGGTGCCACACATATGATCTTCTCCTGGTGTCCTGTTTCGTATCCCTGAGAAAGCGCAAATGAAGGGACCGAGATGCCGGCTCCTGACTTTATATACTCGTCGGTTGCAGGACAGCTGCCCACTTTGAGATTCATTCAAAGTGGCATTCAAAGTGGTCAATGAAGCATGTGGCAGATGAATAACCGGGAGGAGGATTCCAGTGGGCATGTGAACACGCAGCGCATATTAAGTAACAGCACACAGACAATTGCAGCTTGCGCAACAAGTTCATGGGGTTATTTTGGGGTCGATTGGGGTGGGGGGCGCTTGGCAGCCGCAAATCAAAGCAGCTGGACACAGGTTGTAAAACTTCTTAATCTTGCTGGCAAGTGGCAAGTTAAGCATATTAAAATTGTGAGCAAGTCTTCAAAGGCGACTGCGGATTTCCACACCATACTGAGCACATTGAGTGTTGTGAGGTTGTCAACTTAAATCCGTCCCAACAGTTGGTTTATATCTTTAATTACTTGAATTTAGTCATCGCAATCAATTTTAGTGGCAAAGCGACATTTGTAACGACCTCTGTTTGAATTTCAACTTACGATATACGACATTCAAGACATTTTCCACGGTGTGGCAACACCGCTTCCATCCAGTGTGACCTCAGTTAGTCCGTTTCAGTATTTTAGGTGGAAGAAGAAGCCGGCCCACTCTGCGATTTGGAAAGAAAAAACGTAAACATTAATTTTGCACCAGTTCTAGTCATAGAACGCGATTAAATATGTGGGAGCCGCCACGACTGAGTGCATCGCTGCGCACCAAAACGGAGCTGGAGGCCCGAAGCCGGCGCTTCAGCGTCCTGCGGCAGGCGAAAACCACCTCTACTGCGTCCACGACGACGAACAGCCAAATGTAAGTAGCGATTTCACCACCTGTGAATTTCGGCTCAACTTTGTTTCCCTGCAACTTCGATCCACTCCAGCAAGGAGGAGCAAACCATCGCGCGGCTTCTGGCCCAGATGGCGCCCGGAAAGCAGCCCGCCGCAAAGGTGCAGCTGCAGAAGCTGCGCAATCTGGTGCAGGAGTGTATGGGCTACGAGGAACAGCCACAGGTGGTGGAGCACGCCGCGCTCTTCCTATTCTGGCTGCTGCTGGATCAGCGGGTGCTCCTGGTGGCCACCACCCAGCGGCTGCACGGCATGTTTGGCCAGACCTTCGATCGCAAAAAGACGCAAATCCACGACTGCGTCCAGGCCATCGGCGATCTGCTTGAGGATCACGAACGATCCGCGCTCAAGCGCTGGCGACAGACGCAGCACAAGGCGCCCGGAGTAGGTCCGCTTTGGGGCGCCCATATCCATGTCAAGTGCACGCCCGCCGAGTGGATGGACATCAGCCTGCTGACGGATCTAGCGCCGGATGCGCTTCTCAAAAACCGCACCGTTAACAAGTTCTCTATGAAGTACAAAACTAAAGCCGACCCGGTGGGGTCCAAGAGCTCGGAAGCCGTCAAGTTGAGTACGGAACTGCAGACTCTGCTGGGAATCTCCGAAAAGCTGGACGACGAGCACCTAATGAATCGCGTGGGCGACATTCTCGGTTCCAAGCGCAGCAACGAGGAGTTGCAGAATGAACTAATGGAACTTCTAGGATTCGATCACTTTGAATTGGTGGGAAAACTGCTCCAGGAACGGGACAAGATTGCTCGCCAATTAGATCAGTTTGCCACCCGATCCCGCCGCGTCAAGGAGGTGAAACAGAAGCGCATCCAGACGGCGGCCAGTGGGGGAGCCGCAGAGCGGCGTCCCACCGTGGCTAGTGCCGTTGTGGTTCAGTCGGCCCAGGAGAAGCAGCTGGGCAAAATGCAACGGCGGGAGGAGAAAAAACTGCAGCGCATCATGCGAAGCATTAAGGACGAAGAGGCCGAGGATGATCCGAATTGTGCAGTTGCCGTTTCCGTTCAACAGCTGCGCATGCAGCACCAGCGAAAGCTCTTGGAGGCCGCGCAGCGCGAGCCTCTGTTGCACAGCACAAAGGCGGCTAAAGCGGAGTTCAAACAGTCCTTGTACAACCAGCCCATCCACTATCCTTATGTGTTCGACAGCCAGCTGGTGGCCAAACAGCACGCAGGCTTCATAGGAGGCAGCAGAATCACTCTACCCGACAACGCACAGCGTGTCGATAACAAGCAGTGGGAGGAGGTAAAGATCCCAGCGAGTGAGCCACCCCCACTGTCCGTCGGCAACAAGCGCATTAAAATCGAAGAGTTGGACGACGTGGGCCGACTGGCCTTTGCCAACTGCAAGGAGCTGAATCGCATCCAGTCCGTGGTCTATCCGGTTGCCTATCACAGCAACGAAAATATGCTGGTGTGCGCGCCCACGGGAGCCGGAAAGACCAACGTGGCTATGCTCTCTATTGTGCACACCATCCGTTGCCACCTGGAACAGGGAGTCATCAACCGGGACGAATTCAAGATCGTCTACATTGCCCCAATGAAGGCGTTGGCCTCGGAAATGGTTGATAACTTCTCCAAGCGCCTGAAATCCTTACAGATCGTTGTACGTGAGCTGACGGGTGACATGCAGCTAACTAAGGCTGAAATGGCTGCCACCCAGATATTAGTCACCACACCAGAGAAATGGGACGTGGTAACCCGAAAGGGTAAGCATAATATTTTATATCTTGCACAACTTGTTAACAAAATGATGTTTCAGGCAGCGGCGACGTGGCTTTGATAAGCCTGGTAAAGCTACTCATCATTGATGAAGTGCATCTGTTGCACGGTGAGCGTGGTCCTGTTGTGGAGGCATTGGTGGCCCGCACCCTCCGCCTTGTTGAGTCCTCGCAATCAATGAT